TGCTGTCTTTCTGCAAGCAATGTTCATTTCACCATGTTAATTAGATCATTTGTAATTAAATACGTATTAATGTACGTGACGTCCTGTTCAATCGCAACATAGAGTCAGATTTCCCTGCTAATTCTAACTTTTGCCTGTTTTATGAAGTGTAACACCATACATTACAATTAGACAGTTAAATTCCTTCTTCAGGGGCATTCTTTTGTTCAAACGCCCATTTCCATTTTATTTTTATTGTTGTTGTTGTTAGTGTGTGTGTGTGTGTGTGTGTGTTTGTGTGTGTTTCTGTCAAACAACTTAAGCCTTGTCGAAATAATAACAAATAAACTATATTGTCCAATGTCTCTCTTTTATTATTTTAGGTAACTCAGAGTGATGCTCCTGATGTGTTTTTAAAATGTCATAATTACGTCTAACCACTTTTATCTGCAGAACACTTTACACTGAAAACACAGGGGGAACATATCTTAAAAGATACACTAAGATACACTTTTTTTCTTCTTTTTGTTTTTACAACAAAACCAGTCTTAAGTCGCTTGGGTATATTTTTACCAAAAATACATTGTATGGGTCAAAATTATCAATTTTTCTTTTATGCCAAAAATCATTAGGATATTAAGTAAAGATCATGTTCCATGAAGATATTTTGTAAATTTCCTACCGTAAATATATTAAAACTTAATTTTTGATTAGTAATATGCATTGCTAAGAACTTAATTTGGACAACTTTAAAGGCAATTTTCTCAATATTTTGCACCCTCAGATTCCAGATTTTCAAATAGTTGTATCTCGGCCAAATATTGTCATATTCTAACAAACCATGCATCAATGGAAAGCTTATTTATTCAGCTTTCAGATGATGTATAAATCTCAGTTTCAAAAAATTGACCCTTATGACTGGTTTTGTGGTCCAGGGTCACATATTTTAAAATGTAATTTATTTCTGTAATGGCAAACTGAATTTTCACATCACATCTTCCTTCAGAAATCATTCTAATATGCTGATTTGGTGCTCAAGAAATATTTCTTTTTATTAGGTTATGCAGTTTTGAAAACAGTGGTGGTGCTTAATTTTTTGTGTGGAAACGTTTGTTGTGATACGTTTATTTTTTCAGGATTCTTTGATGAATAGAAAGTTTTAAAAAGTAGCATTTATTTGACATTTTATATTTTGTAACATTATTATTAATATCTTTACTGTAACTTTTGATCAATTTAGTCCATCATTGCTAGGTAAAATTTCAATATATTTAAAAACAAATCAAAACTTTTGAAACTCAGACCTTTGAATAAAAACGTCATAATCCATAACATTTTGACATTCGCTTTAAATCAAATACTCATATTTATCCACATTTCGGTATGCTCATGTGTCATGTGTGCAGATGGAGATTGATAGTGGAGAGTGCCTGACAGAAGATTTCCTGTATGAAGAGGTTTACCCGAAGCAGCATGCTCTGAAACAAGCCTTCACCAAGCCAAAGGGCCCAACAGGGAAACGAGGGAACAAGCGTCTAATCAGAGGAGCGGGAGAGAATGGAGATGAGAGCTAGAATCATACAGTCAGAACATGTAAAATGACATCTGATACACTTGTTTAATTTCACTCTCAATTGCCTGTAGCCTCTTTCTTGTCTTAGCTATCCTTTTCATGGTTATTATTTTTTATGTTCGATTTTAACTAGTCTTCTTTCACTCTGAAACACATTCTCACATGGTTTTCAAGGCCACATAAATGTGTTGTTTAGATGATGATTTTTATGTTAAAGATAAAATAAAATCCATTAATCTGTCTTGTTAAATGTCCTTTTTGCCTAACCATGGAGAAGCATTATGTTTAGTTAACACTTTAACAGGCCTCTATATACACAGTACTGTGTTTTTTCAGTTTTTTTCACAAAAAAATAAAAAAATAAATAAAGCCACTAATGGCCCAAGACTTTTGCACAGTAGTGTCATATATATATATATATATATATATATCAACTGCATTTAATACTAGTATGTGATTATTATCCAATAATACTTTCTTACTAGTAATGAAGTTATATTTTAATTAATATAAAATGGATACTCTTTAGTTGTTTGTCGTTAGGTTTTTAAAAACATAAATGTAAAAAAATATATTATTGCATTTTTATATACTTTTTAATATTTATTATAAACAGTTATTCCATAGTTTTTTTTCTGGGTTTGTCTCTTAAAGGGTTAATGCATGTGCTGATCCAGGGCCAGCTCTATCAGTTACGAGGATGTTGGGATGTAATTAACCATATAACTAACATTCTGGCAATAAACATTTTCTGGTATTAGACTTACTACGCTTACCTTGCAGTCACCTCCCATCACAGCCCTCGCTGTCGCATAGAAATCTCTCAGTTAATGCAGCTGGCGCAGAGGTCAATTTCAGCATTCCTGGAAAGCTCTTTACTGGGAAAGTCATCCGCCTCTGAAACCGGCACGGGCGGTTCGTCAGCGGCGCACGGCAGCCAATGGAAACGCAGCGATGGTCGAGAGCGCAGTTCTACTACGAAACGCCAAGCGGCCGATGATGAGGTCGCGGGCGCAAAGATGTAGCGCTCTTCTTGGAATGAAATTCCTAGAACTCGCGTCAACTCATAAAACAGCCAAACGTGCTGCAAAGGCGTTTCTTACTGCTCTTATTACAGGAAAATAACAATCCACCAAGCCAAACGACATATTACTCTTGTTTGAGTACTACTTAGCTGTTTTGTTGTTGTTTTGCGTCATTTTCGTCCTAATTTCGCTCTCTTCGATTTCCTGGAGAATATTTGATAGAGAAGGCTCGTTCGGTTTAGACAGCATCAGAGATTACTGTTGTAAAATGTTTAGATGTTGACTAGATTCGCTCACTTTGTGGACTTTTTGTCGCCATTATAGCACTGCTGGAACAATGTCAGCAGCTTTGGCACTTTGCAGGATTCGCGTAAATTTCAGTCTTTCCAAACTGCTGCCCATTGGTGACGTACAGAAGGTGACGATTTTATGCCCACAAAGGTAAGAAATATATGTGTTTTCTATCTAAAGTCATTTTAGTTTCATGGGAACTGTGAAGCGCTCATACCTGTTTGGTGGGTTTGCTCTTGACTTGACTAATTTGTGATGGACTGCAGTGGTTACATCACGTATATCATGTAGGCTACGTCGTCCTTTTATAATTGATCGTAATCCATTCCCGATTCCTGCTGCTGATGTTTCGAAATTCAACATTTTGTTCTCATCTAAGCGATTTTTAATGTTGCATTGTGCAATAGGGAGCGAAACATGCACTAAAAGTTTTGTGACCAAGTTACTGAGCAAACATGAAGCCTACATTGCGATAGTTTTAAAATCAAAACATGCTTATTTCCCTGACATGTAGCTGTTGAGTACAGGCCCAGAATTCAGGTGTAATTGAATTGAATTTAACTTATTATTTTTATACATTTTTATTTTATTTCAGTTTCAATACTGGAAAATGTCAATTGTAGTTCAGCTCCATTTCAATCCTTTTTTATTTTATAGAATTAATAACATGTCTGTGATCATACTTTGCAGTTTGTTTGAATGCAACTTGAATAAAATCTTTAAAAATCAAATACAGTATGCAGATTAGTGTCTGTAAAAGAAGGCAACTCAATATTTTGTTCTATATTTCACCTTTCCAGGACATTTCAGAAATTAGTTTTTTAAGTATGGTAACTTAACCATCATGATAATTGTTTCACAATGTGAGAAAGAACATAGATTCTGACTTATTGAGGCAGAAGTTGAGACTGATATAAAAACACCAGCATTCCAATAGAATATGGATCTTATTTATACTGTTTTAGATATGACATATTTGTAACTTGTCAAATCTGTTGTTTACCCTGTTGCTTTCCAACTGAAATTCTTGCCACGTTGTGTAAATAGCATGTGAGTGCATTCTCTTGTTCTTGGCAAACTGCACTTCCTTTGTTTGTTCTTTCTTTGAGTTCACTGAAATTATAAATGACAAAGCAATGATATAGAAAGCACAGCGATTTTTAACCTTTGGACTGTTTTCTCCGCTGTCTCACCTCACATCATTTTGTAGGTTTAGAAAAACAAATCTGTTGATTACGCCGTAATTATTCTCAAGAAATGTGTTTTTTTCTTTCATAAGAAGGCTCTCATGCCAGAGCCACCTTCAGGAATGGTCGCTAGCCATACAAGTGCCCAAAATGAGAGGGATGAATCAGAGGTTCAACAAATTCAGCGGTCCCAAGCCGCTCCCTACTCATGGGCCCCGGCTGAGGACTTGCGTTTCATCACCACCACCTTTCAGCACCTACATACCTCAGGTAGCCTATATATTATTTAGTATTTAAGTATTTGAGGAACTGATGTGCACTTTTTCTTAAGCTTCATATTTCTTGATTGCATCTGTCCAGTGTCAGCAACTATCAGGTCAGATTTCCTCCATTATAATTGACCAATAAAAACCTAATCAGATTCCGAACATACGTGTTTAATTAAAAACAAAAAGACATTGGAAGTCAATGACTCCCTCTTCATTTGAACAATCACTGAAGATTATGTCTAATTCTGGATTCTATAAACAAGTCATATACAGAGTCTCAAGTCATCTTTGTATATTTATGTATTTTATGTTTTATGAAGAATAGATTTTGACCAGGGTCCTAAAGTGACTACAGCAACAGTTTATTTCTGTGCTGATAACTTAAATTAATACATAAAACAAAAAATTTAATTATTATTTTTTAATTATTAAATCATTATTATTTATAATTTAATTATGTTTGTTTTCTAAATTAACATTAACATTATTATTTTTATTATTATTAGTTCTTAGAATAATCCTAATGTAAATTACCTTTCAAAAGTTTGGGTTTAGTTAGTTTTTTGTTTTGTTTTTGAAAGAAGTCTCTACTCACCAGTGCTGCAGTGTTATTTGATCTAAATACAGTAAAAGCAATTATATTGTGAAATATTTGTACAATTTAAAATAATTGTTTTCTATTTAATTATTTTTTAAATTCCTGTAATGGCAAAGATACATTTTCAGCAGCCATTTCTCCAGTCTTCAGTGTCACATGATCCTTCCGAAATCATTCTAATATGTGACCCTGGACCACAAAACCAGTCATAAGGGTCAATTTTTTTTAAAATTGAGATTTATACATCACCTGAAAGCTGAATAAATAATCTTTCCACTGATGTATGGTTTGTTAGGATAGGACAATATTTGGTAGAGATACAACTATTTGAAAATCTGGAACCTGAGGTTGCAAAAAAAATCACAATATTGAGAAACTCGCCTTTAAAGGGGTCATATGATGCGATTTCAAGTTTTCCTTTCTCTTTGGAGTGTTACAAGCTGATTGTGCATAGATAAGATCCCTGAAGTTGCAAAGACTAAAGTCTCAAAACCAAAGAGATATTCTTTATCAAAGTTAAGACTCTGCCACACCCCCCTAAAACGGCTCGTTCTAACACGCCCCCACATATCTACCTCACTATGTGGAAATATTAGCATAATGCCGCCCAAATGTGCACGCAAAGAAAGAAGGCATGGTTTCAGTAACCGCAGTTAGTGTTGAAGCAGCCATGTCAGGGAGACGCTGTGTGTTTCTAGGCGAAAGCAAAAGCACTTTACTTGGCCTTCCGAAAGTAGATGCATTTAGGAATCTTTAAGATAACTTACAACAGAACAGCAATGCATTCTATGGACGACCGTTTCGTGAACCTAGGAGAGGAGGTAATTCTGACTTTGCTATGACAATCTGGCGCTTCTGAATCAGCTACTGTTTTGTTATTAGTTTAAGTATTTGCTATTGACTATTCAAATGCTGAGTTTTGCGCATCGTGTGTGTGCGTGCGCGCGGGCGTGTGTGTGTGTGTGAGAGAGAGAGAGAGAGGGACAGCGTCACATCAAAGTGGAGTCAGCTGTCTTAACTGTGGCTTGTGTACTGCAAACACATCAAAACCAGTCATAAGGGTCAATTTTTTTTAAAATTGAGATTTATACATCACCTGAAAGCTGAATAAATAATCTTTCCACTGATGTATGGTTTGTTAGGATAGGACAATATTTGGTAGAGATACAACTATTTGAAAATCTGGAACCTGAGGTTGCAAAAAAAATCACAATATTGAGAAACTCGCCTTTAAAGGGGTCATATGATGCGATTTCAAGTTTTCCTTTCTCTTTGGAGTGTTACAAACTGATTGTGCATAGATAAGCGTAATATAATTGCGCCTGCTGCACCTATACGGCAGCAAAGTTCCTTGATTATTACGCTGGAATGAGAGTATAGTTCCGAGTTATAGTTGTGCTGCTTCATATTTTTGTTACATATATGTTTTTTTAATTTAATGTGCCCTTGTTAAATTAGGTATTCTTTTAAAAGAAACAAAAATCATACTGATCTCAGATGATAGTGTATGTCATATTAACATAGTTTCTTTATGTTTTAGGATGGTACTGGGGTGGTATGACAGCCAGTGAGGCAAGGGATGCCCTAATTGGAGCATCAGAAGGGACTTTCCTTGTCCGTGACAGCAGCCATCCACTCTACCTCTTCACCCTGTCCGTACAGACGT